CCACACCCGGCCGGGCCAGATTTTTATTTTTTTGCTTAGACTTAGATTTGAAAATGAATTTCGCTCATGCACGATTTAGTATTAATGGTGTGCTTACACTTTCAAATGCATAGCAGCGAAATACAAGCCATACAAGATAACTCTCCAGCACCAGCTTGGGGAATGTATCGTGAGATCAGAATTCGCCTTGTGTCCTAAGACTCCTAATTTTAATTCTGCCTTTCACAGGGCATATTTGTGGTCACTGCTAGTGAGTGTTCCCATTGTTTGCTGTGAACCTGGACTCAGGGCAGGTTGCTGTTAGCTCTTGAGACCTTGGGGCTGCTCCTGGGCCCGCGCCCAGGCCTTTGTGAAGGCGGGAAGCTAATCCACCCGCCAGTAGCTTTGTTGAGGGGGAAAAAGGTAGCTGTAATTTGATTTGTCCTTAAAAAAAAAATCTTCCCACCTTTTTATCTACTTTCGAAAAGAACTTGAGATGGCTCAAGGCATAAGGTCCCACACAATGAGACAGTTAAAGATTTTAAAAGAGGAAACCGCATATCCGGAAACCACGGACACGGAAGGAGACGCCTGCAGCTAAGTACGCGGGCTGCCAGAGAGCTCCCCACACTGAGTCAGGACAGGTAATGGCCTGAATCACGCCCGTAACATCCTGGCTGAGCTGTTCCTTCAGCCCCAGCCGAGGCCTCAACTCATCATTTGGTAGCTTTGGTCTTGACTCAGCTTTCCCAAGGCCTGGTCAGGTTCAAGCTCACGGCTGCTCTGACTGGCAGCCTAGACTGTGTCCTGTTTCAGGAGGAGCTGAGGTCGCCTGTCCCTCACCCTGTGCTTCCGATAGGGACTCACTGCATCAGTCCTGACTTTTCTACCGTCAGCCAGAGGGGGAATTTCAGGTCTTGGTGCCTGGAATAGAGTCCCTGAACCCTGAACAGCGGGACACAGCCTCGTGACTTGTCTTGAGTGCCCGCAGGCAGACCTGTAGCTGAATTTAGCCCACCATCAGCAGATGTGGAGGTCACATGATGGCAAATCGGGGTCACCACCTGAGTGCCCTGGGTCAAGTTGGCGTCCACTGGGAGTCTCTGGCGGGTTCAATGTTTGCTGCGGGCGTCGAGCTGGGCTGGCAACCCCACGGTGATTTTGCCCTTCCTGGGACAGGGGCCACCTCCAGGCCTTGCTCCTGCCTTCCTACTATTGTGTTTCTTTGGCCTCATTTCTTTGCCAATTTTTTTCATTGTGTATACTTTTAGTTTGTCTTAAATTTTTTCTGGAATGGGGAGAATATAAATATAGGATACCTTTCATTCCTATAACCTATCAGTTCTGCAGGGTAAAACTGTACCCTCCCTGACTCCAGATTCTGAACTGATCTGGTCGCATGAATCTTTCCAAACTTACCACTGCAACCATCGGACAACATGCGTCATATGATCTCGAGGCATTCACAGAAAATCTCCCCTTTTTACCTGTTTGACTTTAAGTTTAGAAAATTGTGGAGGAAGGTGCTCAGTCTTCCTCCAGTCTCCCTTTAGCTTTTAGCTTTTTTCCATTAGAGAGAGTAAAAAATATTTTTATTACCCAAGTAAAAATCTTCTCTTGTCTAATATTTTTATTTGGATGCTTTTTAGCTTAGCGCTCTCCCCCCAAGTGTAAATCTGATTCTAACTCTAAAAACGCCTATCTGTTGTTGCAGAAAATTTAGCAAGTGTAGCAAACAGAAGAAAATTAGATCCTTTCTGATCCTTCATCCAAAAATAACCAGAGTAAGCACTTCGGGGTAGACTCATACATTATTTTACTGTATGTGTATTATATATAAAAATGTGGTTTTTTTAAAATTTTCACCCAAGGATATTTTTTTCATTGATTTCTAGAGAGAGTGGAAGGGAGGGAGCAGAGAGGGAGAGAGAGAAACATCAATTGGTTTCCTCCCACATGCTCTCCAGCTGGGGCCAGGATTGAACCTGCAACCCAGGTACGTGCCCTTGACCGGGAATCAAACCCTTGACCCTCCAGTGCCCAGGCCACCGTGAGTGTGGACCCAGGACAGCAGTCATGCCCCAGGTGCCGTTTCGTACAGAAACGTATTGATGGAGTTGTTCTTCAGGTGCCACCAAATAGACGTGGAAACTAGGAGACGCTAACTCAGCAGAGGCGTCCCCGCGACGCCCCGGGCCCTGTGGCTCGGCGTGATTTCCGCGCCATCGGGACGCGCTGAGCAGCCTGGCGGCGGAAGAGGGCTTGGCACGCTCGCGTTTCGGTTGTCTTATCTGCTCCTGAGCAAGAATCAGTTATCAGGTGGTTGCAAGTTGAGCCTTCTGGCAGGGGCCCTGCAAATGTTCTGTGGTTTCAATTAAGTGAGAGCTCTTTGTTCCCTGGAACCAACGCGTTGATGGCACACTGGACATTCGCTTAGGAAAGCTAAGGACCTGACCTGTTTCTGTCGCAGCGGCGTTTCCTTCGTTTCTTTCCCTTCGTTAACCCGCGTCCCCTCGCCTCCCGGGATGGCGAATGGCGGTTTGTGTGCGGAGCCCTCTGACTTTGTGGAGCAGGCCAGTCCCTGGAGGTACCCTGAGTGAGAAGATCATAACTTCTTGAGATTGGAGGGTTTATAAAGCTTCCTGTCGCCCCGGCCCGTGTGGCTCGGGTGAACATAGTCCCCATGCACCAAAAGGTCGCCGGTTCGATTCCTGGTCAGGGCACATGCCCGGGTTGTGGGCTCGATCCCCACTGGGGGGCATGCAGGAGGCAGCCGATTGATATTTCTCATGGATGTGTGTGTGTGTCTCTCTCTCCCCCTTCCTCTCTCTCTAAAAAAAAAAATCCATTTTAAAATAAAGCGTATACATATATACATAACCCATGGACACAGTAGTTCAGTGGAGGTCTGGGGGTCAGGTTCAGGGTGGAGGGGCT